CAAACTGAGCTGCTGATTCCAGGATGCTAAGACACGCAAACTGAGCTGCTAGATCTCTAAGGAATAATAGAAGCAAGAGTATCACTCATCTCACACCCGCACAAGGATCTGTGGCTTAATCTCACACATCAAACAAATTTTGTGGTTGTTTTTATTCTTTTCATTGAGATGTTTTCAAAATTCATGAAAAACATCTAGATGATCACATATACTTGACGCAATTTAGCATATATAAGCTTTTTTACTTTTTTAATCCTTTACCGAGGTCATGGCTATAAACCACAGCCATTCAAATATTATTGAAATAGAATTTTAGAATTTGCCGGGCAGTGGTGGCGTAGAGAAAGGCAGATCTCTATGAGTTCAAGATCAGCCTGGTCTACAGGACAGGCTCCAAAGCTACAGAGAAATCCTGTCTCGAAAAACAAACAACAACAACAAAAAAAACAAAAAACAGAATTTTAGATTTTATTCTCATAATCTCTCAAAAATGTTAATGGAACTAGGAATGAAATCCAAGGCCTTCAGCGCACTACCAAGCTAAATATTCAGTCCCTATGAAAAACTGCCAAATAACTAAACACATTAAATATAAATTTAATCCTCCCTAAGCAACATAAACCTAGAAAATCTAAAGCTGAGCATTCAATCAGTAAGATTTTGTCATACAGTAGAAAGGAAATCGTAGACACAATTGTTTAATGAAGGGCAGATTTCACTATAGATATGGTTACCACCTTATTTCCTACTGTACTGTTTGGCATCACCTAAGCTGTCCCTCCAATTCTTACATCAACGAAACCATCTAAAAGCTGTCCAAGGATAAACCCCATCTCTCTCTCCTTTGTGTACATTCATCTCATTTCTTTCCTACAATGTAGGCAAAAGTGTGGTTTATCTCCAAGAATTTTACACTTTTTACTTTTACCTCAAATCTCTTTGGCCACAGAAGTTGAAAGGCATTTGCTTCACAGTAAATTTACGCATAAAATGAATGTCATATTTCCAGAAATGAATTAATGTCTCTTATGTCATCATACCCATCACCTCTCACACTGAAGTCTTACCCTTAATATTGTCCTTATAGAATTTATTGCTTTCTTCCACAGTACTAAAGCCTGCATACTGCCGGATGGTCCAGGGCCTGTAGGTGTACATGGTGGGATAGGGTCCGCGTGTGAAGGGTTTCACCCCTGGAAGCTCTTCAGGTAAGTCCATAGTATCTGCCCTGGAATATAAGGGCTTTATAGAGATCCCTTCTGGGGTGCGCCATATTAGGTCCTCTGGGTTTTTGCCTTTCAGCTGCTTTTTGGCCAGGACAGCCCACTCTGGGTGAAGGGGTTGCTGCTGATGTAGAAGCTGGTTCCATCTGGAGGCCGATGTATCTTTTAGCTGCTTCAGGTAATGGGGTGATAACAAAAAAAGCTGATTCTTAGCTCTCAACATGGTGAAGCATGGATACTCCTCAAAAGAGATGAGAACTGACCTAGAAAAAGTTAGAAAAGCAATACACGTACATTTAGAACTCTGAAGAAAATTGGGAGTTTTCAGTGGCTATGGAAAAAGGTGGAATTGTGTAATATTGGTCCTGTTTCATTTTTCTTTCCCTTTCTGCTTTGCACCTGATATTGTATAACATCTACCCTTGTTCTTCATAATCACTATTGTTCTAGTCTTCTTACTCCACAGCCTTTTAGCTGGTCTTCCTGACCAGATTTAGCCCCTCCAACCCATTCAACACTGATAGAAAGCGAATCTGATTACATCTTACTCCCCACAAAAATTTCCAAAGGTCACATCATGTGGTAAATGTAAGGTAGTATTTCAATTAATTTTCATTCAAAACCCATTTACAAATCTTTTAGTTTATGGTAGACATTACACTGGTGTATAGAGGAAAATGTAGAAATTAGAACAAGTAGGCCTCCAAGGCATCCATGACCTGGTCTCCATGTAGTATCAAATGTATTTCTGTCTTTGTCATTCATACATTTTATGTACTAGAAATAATAGAACAGTCATAGCTCATTGCATATGCCGTGTATTTACCCACAGAGAAAAGCAGCAAATTGCCTCAATTACTTGACACTTAAGTGTTACACAGTCTCAACATATAGAGCCCAGTTTTCAAAAGAAAATCAGATGCAAATTTCATTAATACAGTTGTCTCACCAGGTGCTTTACACTAGGCAAAATGAGTTTAAAACTCTAGGTTTCAGGCCAGAGAGTTGGCTCAGTGGTTAAGAGCATTTCTTGCTGTTACAAAGGATTCCTGTGTTTGATTCCCAGACCACACATAGAGGTTCACCACCTCCTCGGGCACCAAGCATGAAGGGGTGCAGATGTACATGGAGGCAAAACACTCATACATAAAATAATAAAAATATAAAAGTATTTTTTTAGAAATTCTCTTTTTCACATTTACTGCTGACCTATCAAGTTAGTAAAACAATGAAGACTGCCAAATAGTTATTTGGTCACAAAACAAGAAACATAAAACGGCTGAAGGAAATAGTAAATATTTCAACTACTTTATGATGTAAATTTCCAATACATAAAAAGTCTCAAAAATGTTACCCCCTTAAGAGAAGTAATATCTATCCTGGGATAACTTCTATAATGAAAGATAAAACACATTCTCTGCAGTCTTATTTGCACTAGAGAAACAGAAATATTACAAACTAAAATTAGAATGTGTGTTAAAACGTAGAGAAAGAAAATAATTTAATGGAACTATTAAACTAAGTTTAGAAAACAGAAAAAGGTAATATTTCCCATCATAATTTACAGAAGTTTTCATTTATGACAGTAAAAAAGGAAGGCTTTACAATGAGTGCTATGATCTGGACATAAATTATATTAGTGTGTTACATTTGTGGAAATTAGTGCTCTATCCAGTTACCACTGTGTGTGCGTTCTCTAAGTATTTTGACACCAATTTAAAAGTCAAAATTATGTTGAGTATAGTATATGAAAGGAAAGAGGCTCAAGTAAGTATTAGGTGAAAGAATCAAGATACAGCCCCATAAATGCAATACACTCAAAGTTCGCAGAACAGAATCAAAACCTAAATACAAAAAAGATAGCAACTTTTAAAGCTTTTGTAATTTTTTAACCTATTAAATACAAGAGAGCTTTGTTTTCTTTTTTAAAGATTTATTTATTTATTGTGTATACAGTGTTCTGTCTGCATGTATCCCTGCAGACCAGAAGAGGGCGCCAGATCTCATTACAGGTGGTTGTGAGCCACCATGTGGTTGCTGGGAATTGAACTCAGGACTTCTGGAAGAACAGCCAGGGTTCATAACCGCTGAGCCATCTCTCCAGCCCCACAAGAGAGCTTTGCTATCCATTTTTATTTCAAGCCACTTGGGTTTCAGAAAGCCTAAGCAGTGAGTGATGGGAGTACTGAGCTGACATCTGCACGACCTCTGCAGTGATGCAGAGCACTAAAAAGGACTCAGAAAATGTCTGAAACTACACTGAAGACGGGAAGCAGACTCCTGGAAAACAAAATTTTAGCGACTCTTTCTTCAAACTGGAGAAATGACAAAACAGAGTCCCCATTTAACAGGGATTTTCTGAAAAGCCAAAGGCCAAATTAGTAAACACTGAAAACAGCACTTCAAAATAACAGAACTAGACACACAGAGTGCCTTTAATCCACACAGTGGGGAAGCAGAAGCAGGTGACCTCAGGAGTTCAAGGCCAGCCTGGTCTACAAAGGGAGTCCAGGTCAATCAGAGCTACATAGTGAAACCCTGTCTCTAATGCATACATACATACATGCATGCTTCATGCATGCATGAACACACACACACACATACATAACAGTATTGTTGTTGGTGACAACAGGACTTCTAAATTTTTCTTGAGAGCCATAAAAAGAGTTCAGGCATTCAAAGTAGCAATATGTAAATGTGTTAATGACGACTAGAATGTGTTAAAGTGAAATAACACACTTTTTATTAAAGTGAAATAACAGTTATATATTATAACTATATATATATGCATATATTCCCCAGATAAAAGTAATTTAGAAAAGGCCAGGGATCCTTTAATCCCAGTGCTCTCAAACAGGCAGACATGTAGATCACCAGTCTGATCTACAGCACGGAGTTCCAGAGCAACCCAGACTATATGGAAAAACCCTGACTCCAAAAAGCAAATTTAAAAAAAAAAAGAATAAAAAGAATAAACAAAAATAACTCTCACGTGCGAGTATAACTGTTTACATTTGATTCCACATTAACACTCATAAAAGCTAGCCACTCCTGCTATTCGATTTGCAAAAGTGGTGGATACACAAAGCCTGAAAGTTATTAGAATAAAGGAATCACCAGCCTAAAACAGTGGCTCTCAACCTGTAAGTCGCGACCCCTCCGGCAAACCTCTATGTCCAAAAATATTCACGTTACGATTTATAAAAGTAGCAAATTACAGTTATGAAGCAGCGACAATTTATGGTTGGAGGGTCACCACAACATGAGAAACTACACTATGGGTTGCAGCATTAGGAAGGTTGAGAATCACTGTCTTAAAGAAAACCATTAAACACAAAACTATGTTGGAAGAAAATCAACAAGTGGTTTAAAATTGCACGCATGTGTTGTGCTCTGAATGGCAAAACTGAGAAGATGGAAATTTTTAGTTTTGTATGGAATTACACCTGCCTTTTCTTTTTCATTTCTTCCTCCTATCGTTTATTTATTTATTTATTTATTTAGTGCCACCAAGACTAGCAGAAACAACCTACAAACAACCCGAGCCTCATGTAAGCGTGGCTGCTGGGCACTTCTACCCACAAGTGACCTCTGCCAGGCGCGTGCGTGGGAAGCCAGGGAACAGAGCGACAAGGCTACTGCGCTGTAGAAACGCACTTTGCAGCGGTGACCTCCGGATTTCAATGTCCTGGCCGAAAATGAGAAGTCGGCCGAAGACACCTAAACTTCAGGGAGAAAGCCGGTGGCTTCTATCACAGCAGGACGGCAAAGAAGGAAGGAAAGGAGGACAGAGAGACCAGGCGGAAAGATGACCGCAGTGAGCGGACAGATTTGCAAGCCTGCCGGGTTCGGCGGTGTACAGGCTTACTCACAGGCCACAACGTGGGAGGCGACCGGGCCGAGCCCCGATCCTACAGTCGAGCCCCGATTCCCGCCCGTCACCGGCGCCAGCAGCTGGAACTCAGAGCCCGTCCAGTCAGGGGGCGTAGCTGACCCACCCTCCGACCAGCCAATCCGATCTCGCCGTCGCGGGCGCGCTCCTGATGACGTAACGGACCGCGCGGTGCCAGGCCTTCTTGACGGACACTTCCGGTTCCCGGGTCGTTGTATTTGTTTTGGTTTGGTTTTTTCTTTTCCGGTTCTTTGGGCGCGAAAGACTGAGCCGCGCTTTTCGAGACCTGGAATGAACAGCGTTGATTGGAGAAAGCGTTTAAGGGACCGATGGATCCAGAAGGGCGTGAATTTTGAGGCTCACGCGTTTGTGGTAAACTCTGTCGTTTGTTTGCTTTTTGCTTTTTGTTTTCTTTGAAGGGCAATGTCTAAGGTCCGCATAGGTCTCTGCTCTCGGGGGCAGCGGTTGAGATCTTGGAATCTCCCGGGAGGCGTGAAAACACTCTTCCTCCCTCCCTCTTCCCCCGGACCTCCCGCTTCTCCTTCCTGAAGCCCTGTACCCCGTCCAGGATCGCCCCGCTGTCTCGCCAGAGTTCCTTCTCGTTTGTGGCTTGCAAAGGTCTACATTGAGATAAGTAGGTTTTAAACTAGTTTCAGCAAACCGGAAAGGAAAACAGCAAACAGAAAAGTAGGGTGTCTCTCTGCGGTTCTCCTCTCCTCGCCTGAACATTCAAATCTGAACCGACTGGCTCCGGAGGCGGAACTGCACTCTCCTGAGCTGTCATGCCCATGCCGCAGGCTGCTTTCATTTAAGTACTTCATTTCTCTTCCTTCTTCAGTGTTCCCACACCTGCTCACGGGTCATTTTGGTTGCGTTTAGTCTCAGTAGTTTACCCTGAAGCCACACCTGGTAACAGGAAAGAACCACAAGCTGAGATAACCATACCCCCACCCAAGGGCAGACCATTCAAAGAAAATGCCCGACTTTCCAACCGCTGTGGATGGGGACCACCTGCCAGCGCACCTTACCAGAACACCCCTAGACAAATGTCAGCCAATCAGGGGTCTTGAACCTCAGAGATCCCCTCACCCCCTTTACTACTATAAAAACCCAATTCCAATTGAGCTCGGGGCTGTCCGGTTATCCAATACGTTGGACATGATGAGAGACCGAGTTTGCAAACTTAATTAAAATAAAGGCTCTTTGCTTTTACATATGAAACTCGGTCTCCTTTGTTGGCTTTTGTGGGGACCCCACGGATTTGGGCATAACAATTTCATACATGGTAATTGTTTTCTTATCTGTGTCTGCCAAGCTAATATTAAGCTATGATTTTCTATGAATCTCGGAACTGAAGTTGCCACAATGGGAACAGTAATGACCCTTGTTTATATTCTTACCATGTCTGTCCCATAGACTGACCTAGGACTTTCGTGTATTCTGTTCTGCTGTTTCCACATTTCAGGTACTTGATATTGGTACTTTTGTATCAATGGGAAATTTTAGTTCATTTACTGGATTTAGGGCTAGTGAGTTCATTGGAATTTAGAACCTGGACTGTTTGTCTCCCATTTGTAGCTTGTTCTTACCTGTCATGCCATTGGCTGTCAACCTGGGGCCTTTTGACTAGAAGGATGTTTGACAGTGACCCAGAAGCAATTTCGGTTGTCACAGTTTGGGAGTGGGACCATTCTAGTGTCTGTGAATAGAAAGGAGAACGCCGCTAACCATCTTAGAGTGCACAAGCCAGCCTTTCACAACAACAAAAGTGTCCCAGTGTTAATGAGGCTGCGGTTGAGAAGCTTTGCCACTATAATCTATTACAGGTAGAGACCGTGAAGACACCACTGACAACGGACCAATTTTGTTTTGGCTTGTTTTCAGATTTCTAGTCAGTCAATACTGATAATTTTGTTGACTACACTTTAAAATAGATTTTTAGTCAACCTCATAAACCATCCAACACCAGCAATGAAAGCTACGGTAAACTATGTGTCAGTGTAGGATGTGAAAATACCTTACACTTTTTTACAATGTGCTTGAATCTAAAACTGTACTGCAAAGCTAATCTAATTTTAAGTATTAGCTATTAGAAAAATAAGAAGTTCAAAAGACATGGCCAGATATTTTGTGATTGAATTTGACATACTTGAAATTCTGTTAAATTTCTATAGAAATTTTATTCTCAATTTCAGTATTCAATATATTTTTTCAAAGCAGTTTGTAAATCACATCTGGAGTAGTATTGGATTGAATGCTAGTAAGTATATACTATCCAGAGAAAATGGTTGACAAAACCCTACTGTGTCAGACGATGAGAACTGAAAAGGCCCTGCAGACTTCTGTAGAGAAATGAAGAAGAGTGATTAGAGAGGATTGGGAGGATGATTGCTTTAGCACACTATTCTGTCTCTCATGCACATAATGTACATTCTAAGTGATGCTCACTGTCTGGGTGTAAGTGAAAATAGCCATAAGCTTACACTCTTCTGACCACCCTTCCTGAGGGCTGATTACAGAGCGGCACACCAAGCTAGATTCCTCCAGTGCTGAGGATTTTGGGCATTTTAGGCAAGCCTTCAGCCAACTGAGCTACATCTACAGCCTTCAGCTGACTGAGCTACTGAGGATTTTGGGCATTTTAGGCAAGCCTTCAGCCAACTGAGCTACATCAACAGCACCAACGTGATATTTTAAAAACATATTTAAATGTTTTAAGAAAAGATGTTTTTCCAAAATTCTGAAGACATAATTAGAACAATTACCTTTAATCTTTTCAACAAAACATGGTATAAGCCTCATCTTTCTCTTTTTTTTTTTAACCTTTGCAGAGTTTGTATCATTGTAATTGTATGGTTTAGATCAAAATGTCTGGAAAAGCAAGTGCTTCTAAGAGAAAATCTCAACAGTTAAAGAGAACTTCAAAACAAAGAGCTAATGAGGATGGAGATTTGCCAGACAATGAGGTAATAAAATATCAAATCTATCATGTAGATCCTTTGATTAGAAATACTATCTATCACTTTAAAAAGGCCAAAAGTCTTTAGTGCGTTCTTTGTTCATAATATTTACCTTATCTGTAGAAGCAGCTGTATAGTTTTTCTCTGTCTACTAAAAAATCCAATACAACCCTTTAGTATACATGGAAATGTGTTCAAAACCATCTTTATATCTTATGTTTAATTGCTTTTATGTCTATAGGTTGGAATCACAGCAAAAAGGAACAGAAGTCATGCAGGGCATCTGTCCTCTGAAGGTACTGCTCTTGTATGTCTAGTTTAAAGTGTCTTCTCCTGAGTTTCATGAAAGAACTTTCAACTCCATGATCATGAGTTCATCAGTAGTGAAAGGTGGTCAAAGCAGCCACATTCACAGTGCTTAATTCTTCTAGCAAATATAAAGAGGTTTATTTGTCACATTGATAGGCACTAGAAAACAGTCATTGTCCCCCTCTCCAAATTATTCATCTCTGAGATAAAGACAATTCTACCTCTTTCTCTCAACATATGCGCTTTCGATTCTGCCAGGACTATACGGATAATTTATAATCACTAGCTTTACTATTCAAAGTAAATTATACCTCTTTTTTCCTTACCTAGTCTTTATGAAGCCAGTATTGTATCTCATTGTTTATGCCATGTAAGTAGAACAGTGCACTATTTAACTGTACTGGCAAACATTTTTGAGGTTTATCTGCCATGCTGATGAGAACTAGAAAGTTCTCCGCACTCTGAATTACTCATGTCTGATATAAAGGTGTAATAGTCAATGTCTATTTGTAGCTTGTTCTGTCGTTTCTAGTGTATGTTAGAAATAGTTTTCCAGTGTTTTTATTGAAAGTTTTAAAATATCAAGTCATTTTTCAGCAACAAATTTTAATAATAATAACTGTTTATTTAAAAGTGTTTGTATTTCATTGTTACTTGATACTATATCAGGTATCATCACAGTGGGCAAATTTATCTTCAATAACTGAGATGTTGTAGCTGCAAGACAATGTGAATTAAAGAGTGGAATGTTTAGTTTCGTAATGCCATTAATGTTCTTTACACTAAAATCATTTTTAAGTAAAACTGCAAACCTCTATTTTGATTAGACTCTCTTGTATTACCAGTAACAGGACAAGCAAAGCGTGCTTACTTAAAACGGATAAAAATAGCCTCCAACAAGAGAAGCACCTGGCAGCCTGTTCCAAAGAACACTGGAGATTATTTGCAAAGTCTGATGGAGTCAGTCATTCTGTGAGTTTCAGATATTTCCTTTGCAACTCTTACTCCTACTTAGGTATTTACTATTTACATTGTTCTAAATATTTCTACATACGTTAGTTACCTTGTTCATGGAGGTGACAGGATGCTTACGTAAACATTACGGGTAAAGATACTCATAAACAGCAGAAAGAGTATTTAGTCTCACAGTTTCAGAAGATGTGATCCATAGTCCTTAGCTCCATTGCTTCTGAACCCTTGGGAGGCTGAACATCATGGCAGTGGAAGCATGACTTGAAGGAAGCGGGAAACAAGACAGGAACCAGGTGTCACTTAAAACACACCCAGTTTCTTGCATATCCTCCAGCCAGTCACTGCTCCCTAAGAATTCCACAGATGAAGAGCGTACACTCAGTGCACGTGCCAGTGGCAGGCATATCAAATTTAAACCATGACAATATTAGTCTTTAACAAGGAGAGTTTGCTTAATTGTAGAAACCTGGAACCTATCAGTGAAGGAAAAATTAAGTCTGTGTGGATTGATTTGCAGTCTATTAGATTTTTAACTTGTTCTCTCAATATTGATTCTTCAGAAGCTGCATTCACAATAACACTTTCTATGAAAACTACTATGTTATATGAAATACAAAGAGTTAAATTCCACAGTAGAATTTAACTACATCAGATAAGTTGGGTGTATAAATTATTATAATACAATATGATTCAAAGAAAATGTCATTGTTCTGCTTAAAGTGTTTTGTGGGTAACAGAAGAGAAATGCTATCAAATCATCGTGGGTGTGGGTGTGGCTGTGAAGATGTTAAAACCCACTACTTTGTATTATATTTGTATTGCACCAGAAATAATAAAAACTTATATAGAATACTAAAATCTTAGTATCATGAATTTCAGTTCAACGTAAATTATTTAAAAATGTATATACTATAAAAAAGAAGGTGAGTGGTTCTACCTAGGTAGTAAGGTTGAACACTTGAAACATTTTTGAAATACAGATTGAATTATGTTTCAGAGTAATATTTAGTCAGTCTCTTTTTTCCCCCAGAGAAATTTTAAGCAAGAACATTAAAGAAAAAAAACAAATTCAGTATCATCTCAACTGCTTGAAGAAAAGGTAAGATACATTTGGAAATGATTACATTACAATTATTTTTAAAATATGATTTGCTCTTGTTTTCTAAAATGATTTTAGTGGAATGTGCTTTTTCATTTCCCTTTAAAGCTTTATTTTTGCTTGTGTGCGTGTGCACGAGAGAGCATGTGCTGTGGCATGCTATTACAGGTCAAGTACAGCTTTGAAGACTTGGTTCTCTCCTTCCACGTTGTGTTCCTACCTGTATCCTACTTTGGATCCTCAGGTACTTGCTAAAGCCCTTTACCTGCTAAGCCATTTTAACAGCCTTTGTACAATATTTTTAATACTTTTTTGCATAAGACAGTGTGAATGATGGTGAATTTTCCACCAGGGAGATCAGTTTGGAACCAAAAATGGTTCAGATTTTGGGTTTTAGCTGGGTGTTCAACTTACAGAGAATTTTTACAAAACCCATATTGTTATAGTGGCAGAACAACTACATTGAGTATATTTTTCTTAATTTCTTTCTCATAAAACTGAAGAGTCAGGTCCGAGAACATTATTTTGTCATCTGCTGGAAGTGGTGGTCACGCAGATCAGTAAAGACTTTATTAGAATATAGAGTAGAATTCGTCTCATTGTGTTCTGTAGCAAAGCCTGTAAAAATCATCATCTTTTCTGCCCTAAACTTAAAACTCAGTTTTAAAATGAAAATGTTTAGACTAACCTGTATTGCTTGCATTCTTAAAAAGTGAGAAGTGGGGTTTGTGGTCAGACTTAAAACTTCTAGAGTTCTTTCTCTTATTCAACAATCCATACTAAACTGGCAGACTTACAGGCTATAGTAGTCTAGAAAGCATATTTAAACAGTAGTAGGAAATTCTGATTTTAAAATATATTTTAAATGTGTAAACTAAAATATGTTCTAGTAAAGTAGCCTTAGCATTTCATGACTTGCAATAATTGTTAATGTATTGAAGTTAAGTGATGATTTGTTTGGGGGGAAAATGCAGCTAGGCTTTGTTAAAAAAAAAGAGAGAGAGAGAAAGAAAGAAAGAAAACAGAATATTGTAACCCTTATAAGTGTGGGAGTAGGAAAAAAATGAAACTGTTTTAAAACAGAAAAGGAGATCGTGTTCCCATAAATCAACATGTTTGTTCTGTTTCTAAGATTGCTACAACTGTGTGGAACCCTGAAAGTCCCTGCTAGAACACTGAACTATTTAGCTGATGTGTCAAATCTGCTGAAAATGGAAAAGGCACAGGAAAGGGCTAATGAGGAGGACATGGCTTTACTGCAGGTATGACATTCAGAAAGGCTTCAGTAATTATAGAGCTGGCAAAAGGGGACTAGGGTAAATTTAAGTCATCGTAGTGTTGATCTAGTAATAAGTACAAATTCTGAATGGAGGATGTTTTTGTTGGTTTTGCTTGTTGTAATGAAAGGAAAACTTTCACTTGAACTTTAGGCCTCTAAAATTGACGTATTTATGATTTATTTATCTGTGATCAAGTAACAGTCCTATTCTTATAAATATTTTAGAAAAATCCTTTCATAAATAATGATTGTTCTTTTGCACCCCTACAGTTTCCCCAGACTTCCCCACCTCCTACTTATCCAACTTTATGTTCTTTTTCTGTCTTCCTCTTTAAAACAAGCAAGCAAAACCACACACATACAAAGGAAAAAAACACACACACACACAGTAATGAAAATCAAAATAAATAAGTAAAAGACCACAATAAGACCAAAAAGTCTACAAAAATACTATTTAGTTTATTTTATGTTGGCCAAATAATCCTAGTCGTGGGCAGCCCCATTCTTTTAGTTACTCTGGTTTAGCTGAGTTCTAGATATTTTTAATTGCCAGGTCTTGATACTGATTATTATGGAATCCAGAACTTTTGTTCCATACAGTTCCAGATTGTTAGCATGTCTATAGCTCGTGAATATTGAAGACTTGCTGTCCACACACACCGTGACTACATCTCTTATTCTCACACAATCTGAACAGTCTAACCTTTTATCCTCACACAGTCTGAACAGTCTAACCTTTTATCTTCATTTTATTTATCTGAGAAAAATACTGTTTTTTTTTTCTAACTTTGCTGTAAACAAACTGCTTAAAATTGAATCAGAGCATAGTGCTCAACTTTTAGCCTTTGATTAGTTGATATTTGAACAAGTAAGAAAAGCAATGTTAAAGAGCTCACTAGTTATAGAAACCAAAACAAATTATAACATACCACCCTGAGACGTTTTGGAGTAGTTTGCAGATGGTATTGTTTGAGTAGCTTCTGAAAGCTGAGGGTAGTAATCGTAGTTAGTACAAGAAAGATGTTGTGAAGAGCATCTAGTAACTCAAACTAATTCATTCCAACTTTTCCTGAGTAGGAAGAAACATGTTGTGCAATGCATTCACATATATTGTAAATTAATGAGATATATTTATGTAGTGGCCCTACTTAATTCATAAATCCATACTACAATTTCCAACCCAAAGTTACTGCTTCTGAGCATCTTGTAGTACTGGCAACACCTCTACCATTTAATAAACAGTGACATGACATTAGTATAGGGTTTTTGTACATATTTTAAACCATGATAATTGTTCACTGTGTCAAATAAGAGTGTTCAGAAATAAGCAATAAATGATAGTGTGACCTTATGGGAAAGTATTTCCAGTTTCCAGTTAAAACTCAACGTCAATGGCACAAGTACAGGTACAGTCTGTGGTTTCCTTAGCACTCACTCAGAGGAGGTACCACATCTGGGTGCGATGGAATGTGTTGCCGCACAGCATAAATATGATAGGAATATCCAAGAGGATAATAACAATGTGGGATGAAATAAACTTTAAATCTTACAGTGATTTCCATTTCTCCTGTGTTGCTGGAGGCTGAACCCACCACCCGAAACACTCTGCCACTGAGTTACATGGCTAGGCTTTTTATTATATTTTGAGACAGAATCTTGCTAATTTCCCTGAGCTGACCATAAAATTATAATGTTTTTGCGTCTGTCTCGTGAAGGCTCAAATGAATTATAGATATATGCCACCATTCCTAGTGTCATAATGAAAATCTTCATTATTGTATGTAACTCTTTGTTTAGTGAGTGATGTGGACGTGTGTGTGTGTGTGTGTGTGTGTGTGTGTGTGTGTAACGTTGGCTGACATGTTACTCAGCTTGTCTCAAAATTAATTAGTTAATGGAATTAAATAATTTCTAAATGAGGCGCCCCGAATTTTTTCGGTGGTTCTTGTTTGTTTGTTTGTTTGTTTGTTTGCTTGTTTTTCAAGACAAGGCTTCTCTGTAGATTTGGAACCTGTTCTGGAACTAGCTCTTGTAGACCAGGCTGACCTTGAACTCACAAAGATCCACCTGCCTCTGCCTCCTCCGGAGTGCTGGGATTAAAGGCGTGCACCACCACCGCCCAGCTTCATGGCTTCATGGGTGGTTCTTATATCCAACAATAAATGTACTTACAAGAAGCAAATAAAAATACAGAAACAAAGAGAAGGCCATGTCAAGACAAAGGTACGAAGTGGCATAGTGCAGTCAAAAACCTAAATAGACAAGGAAGAAATCTCTATAATTTGGGGGTTTTTAAGACAAGATTTTGTTGATCTGAAGCTGTCCTCCAATTCCTGCTCTTCCTACTCAATCTTTCCATGTTATGGTTAGAAGTATGTGCCACCATGCCCTGCTTTTCCATATAATCTTTTTTTTTTTTTCCAGCAGTTGGGGATGAGGAAACAGGCTATATCAGAGCACAGAGAGACCACCCACAAAGCAGGGAGTCTCAGGAAGCTGAAAATCCAGTCTCTTCACTAGGACTGGGTTTTTAAAGTCTCCAAAGAGCCTTCTTCCCTAATGTAGTGGTTCAGTGGTTTGAAGAAAGACGGTATAGCCAATGTGTCTAGAGGAGCCACCTGGGGATTATGGTGGTGGGGCACAATGCCTTTCTTTTAAGCAGCCTGGCTTTTATCTCAGATTGGGAGGCTGAGGAAGAAGCCAGCCGTCTTGGAAGTTTGCTGCCTTTGTTTCCCAGCCATGGTCCCTCTCACTGTCTGTCTTCCTACCAAGAAATCTGTACAACTTCTAATCCTTCATTTTCCCTTTTAGAGGTCACCTTACTACTGTAGGTAGTTTGGGGGATGAGGTACCCATCACTCTAGCTCCGTTGAGCTGTCAAAATGGGTGATAAAGGCAGAGGAACAGTCAGAGTGCTGCAGAGGGATCTTGATCTAAGGATCACAATAAAACTTAACAGATTGCAAAGATTCAGAACTCGAGATGTCCATCTGGTGACTATTTGCGGGAGGTTGCAATCCTCCGAACAAATTGTGAGGTGAAAGTTCAAAAATTTTACCATCTAGGAGTCTTAGTAAGGTTTGTTTTCTCAGCCAGTAAAAAAGTTAAAAGGCAGGAAATAGCGGGGTGTGGTGATGCACATCAGGAGGTGGGAGCAGGAAGATCTCTGAGTTTGAGGGAGCCTGGTCTACAGAGTGAATTCCAGGATAGCCAGGGCTATACAGATAAACCCTGTACTGAAAAAATAATAAACAAACAACCAAGTAAATAATAAAAGGTTGGAAAAATCTTTAGCTCTAAGTAACAAAGGAGAAATCTCTAGTGCAGCAAACCAGCAGCTGGAGAAGGGTTTTATACACAGAACGGGGAAAGGAAGCATACACAGGGGGAAAAGGCCTGCTGCAAAGCAGAGCAGAAACTTGGAAAGCCAAAAATACCTGCCCACCCACCCTCACGCCAGATAATTTAAAGGAATCATAGCCAAACCATAACCTTTGTTTGGGCTATTGCCCTTTGGAACTGATCTGTTGGAGCAGCCATAGTAAACTGATATATATGGTTTGCTTTACAGTTGTCTTAATCCACACATTGTAAAATCAGATGTCAGTTCATAGCAGTGTGATGCTGTGGAGCAGGTTAACTTCACCATGGAATGCAGTATTCAAGCCCTGAAGCATTCGTAAAAACAAATGACTTCCTTCCCTCGACTTAGGAATTTCAGTTACATAAGAATTAGACCAAGGGGGGATAGAAAACCTACTTAAAGAAAAAATAGACCAATTATTGCCAATATGGAGCCTGAGTCAAACAAAGTGTAAAGTAGTTCCTGTGTATAAGGAAATAATAATAAGAATAATATATTCAACATTGTGGAATTTAATAGAATTTTAATTAATGTGGTAATACAGATCTTACATATTTGTTACATCGTTTAGAGTTGTGCATTGAAATATTTACAGATGCAGTGGGATGACGTCTAGGATATACTTTAAAATAGTGCAACTCTAGTAACCCAGTAACTGATTTATACTGTACTTGGTCTGCAATCAGCATATTCTTGTTATTTCTATATTTCGTTCATTTTGCATATTTCTTTGTCTTTTTCTACAAATTAACATGTTTCTTTTATTTAGAAAATGTTCATACAAGGTTTTTATTAATATCTAATCTCAATGCCTAGCGTTTTATTCTTCTGGCATATTTAAACAGGCATTCAAATGTTCCTAACTAAAATAAAAAATATTTTCATTTTTTTTCTGGCACTTGAAAGTATATGCTGCTTAACAAATGCTGTTGCTTGTTGCTTGCTGCAGAGTCCTTGGGCTGCAAGACCCATAGGAGGGTTTTCCAGGACTAGTTAGCCGCTGGGTTAAGTTTAGAAGAAGCAGTGATAGGCAGTTATCTCTTTATCCCATGAAAGTACGTTTTTCTTATAAATCATGTTAAAGTGGCCAAACAGCATTCCAGGGGCTCTGTTTTTGAAAGGTAAGCAAAAGTAAAGTTAAAATTGTCATCTAGAGCGTGTTAAAATGTATGGTATTCTATGGACACACTCTCTCCTAGGGTTTCATTTGGAAGACATTTACTTTAAAATACTTATCTTTTTGCCTCAGAACGAAATAGACAAAATAGTAGCAACCACAGAGTCCATGACTGAGAATATTCAGAGCCTAAAGAACAAAATTCAAATTCTGACAAATGACGTAGAGGAAGAAGAACAGAAGATGAAACAGGTAATGGTTAAAAACCATATTGGTAGTATTTTTAACTATAATTTTTAATTCTAAAGTGTTACCAAGATAACTTGAATTTTGTAAGATGAAAAAAAGCAGGCTTTTGAAATAATCCCTATCTTTCTGTTTCTATTTAGGAATTTCACGTGGATACTAATAAGGTACTGTCTCTTCCAGAACTTTCTCAGAAAAGTCTTAAAGCACCCATACTTCAAGTAAGTACCCATTTACCATATTCCTGCCAGGCTGTGTTATACACACACACACACACACACACACACACACACACCCTCATATAAAACCATATCCCATTTCTTTCAACAAGCTAATCCTTTTATAAATTTTTTTGACAAATTACTTTTCTTACTTGGCATATTTGAACATATTTTCTGTCAGCTCATGTAGACTAGTCTTATCAGTATTTATTTAATGTTCCAGTACGCCAGTGTACCATTGTAAAGTCCTAGTAGAAATGAGTAGATTTATATTATACTCCTTTATATACTCTTATGTGTTTGTAGAGTTCTAATAATAGGTATGGAACTCTAACTTTTGACAGCTCTTTATGAGATAGCACTGGAGTATTTATCATTAATCTATATGCTGGTAGTTTGTCTTTTCTCCCAGAGAGCTTATTGATATTGTCACGTAAATGCTCATTTTATTATCTGTCATGGCCCAGCTTAGCAGGAATGGGAGAAGGAACAACTTATTTGAAAATGAACTGTCATCACTTGATAATTAGTGAAGTTGGGTGGTGGGTACTTAAGGTTATTATTATATTTCTTCAAATAATAGAAATATGATGTATTTTCATCATAAAGTGCTATAATTAATTGTACTGTCTTACCCACAGAAAGAAATTTTGGCACTAATTCCAAACCAGAATGCTCTTCTAAAGGATTTGGTTGTCCTTCATAATTCAGCCTCAGTGAAGAACATGTCAGCGTTCATTCAAGAAGCCTATAAGAAACTTGAGCACTCTTAAAGAGTTGGTTTTGTTTTTGTTTTTAAACATTGCTCCATATTAACTTATTGTTTATGAATTGTAAAACTTTCCTTTTCAAGA